GTTGACATCCCATATAGGTGCCGGTTCGGGACTGAGCTGCTCCACTTCCCATCCAGCTCTCTGCTATGGCCTGGGAAAGCAGTAAAAGATGGCCCAAGTGCTTGGGCCCCTGCACCTGTGTGGGAGACCAGGAAGAAGCTCCTGGCTCCTGGCTTCAGAACAGCGCAGCTCCGGCCATTGCAGCAAACTGGGGAGAACCAGCTGATAGAAGACCTCTCTGTCTCTCCTTCTCTATGTAACTCTGACTTTCAAAGAAATAAATGCTTAAAAAAAAAGCCTTATCCTAATACTAAAATAATCTCACAAATACAGCCAACACAAGCACATCAGTTACCTGAATGACATCTGAATATGGAGTTATTCATATACCTGTGAGGCCGGCGCCGCGGCTCACTAGGCTAATCCTCCGCCTTGCGGCACAGGCACACTGGGTTCTAGTCCCAGTCGGGGCGCCGGATTCTGTCCCGGTTGCCCTTCTTCCAGGTCAGCTCTCTGCTGTGGCCAGGGAGTGCAGTGGAGGATGACCCAAGTACTTGGGCCCTGCACCTGCATGGGAGACCAGGAGAAGCACACACCTGGCTCCTGCCATCGGATCAGCGCAGTGCGCCGGCCGTGGCGGCCATTGGAGGGTGAACCAACGGCAAAGGAAGACCTTTCTCTCTGTCTCTCTCTCTCACTGTCCACTCTGCCTGTCAAATATATATATATATATATATATATATATATACCTGTGAAAGTAAACTCTCACTGAGAGTTAGATGGGTTCAACATCACACTGCTTGTATTATAGCTTGGTTTTTAGTTATTTATTTCCACCAGCACTCTCAATTCCTTGCTATCTGTATAGGTTGAATAGTGTTCCCTCCCACAATTTATGTTCAGCTGGGACCTGTGAATGCTTCCTTAATCGGCAAAGAGGTCTTTGCAGATGTCATCAAGGTTAGAGGAGGTCAGACTGGATGACAGTGGTCTCTAAATCTGATGATGGGTGCCTTAAGGGTGAGAATAGGGAGAGCGACACTCAGAGACACAAGGAACAAGGGCACACAGGGAAGACACAGGGACGAGGTCATGTGAAGACAGAGGCGGAGTGGGAGTCATGCAGCCAGTGCCAAGAGACATCCAGGACTGCTGGCAAGCAACAGAAACTGGAAGAGGGGAGGGAGGGAGGACTCTTCCCTAGAGCCTATGGGAGCTCGACTCTGCTGACACTTTGATTTGGGTCTTTCACTCTGCAGAACTGTGAGAGTGTTGTCTGAAGCCACCCAGTTTTTGAGCATTTGTTATCTGGACATCCCCAGGATATTAATAGACTGCCTGTCCAGGTATCTCCCACAACACACCACACAGTACTTGCTTCAGGTGGGCCCTACCAGCAGCTGGAGGATAAACTGCGTCCTGGACCCTGGGGATGGAGTAAAGGAGACGGGAAGGCAGTTGCGGCGGCTGCCCTGGGCCATCCAGGTTGAGGGCCTTCCCCGGGCCATCCTCGCAACTCTGCAGCACAGACAGGGAGATTTCTGCTTCTCAGGGCGGGAAACTGAGATGCACTTGGAGGCCTCCTTTCCCAGCCGAGCAAGCCGTGGAGATAAGCTTCCCACGTGGGTCTGGCTGATGCCCAAGTCAGCCATCTTCCCAAAGATGTAGACATCTTCTGTGGAGTTTTCATTCCACCAACCTAAGATGGTTGAGAGCCGACCTTTGAGGGAAATGCATGTTTGGGAAGATCCATATACAAAAGGCAGGAAGTGCATCTCAGCTCAGAGAGCGACGCCTAGCGATTCTGCGATGCCCATGAGGGACACGGAAGTGTCATTTCTAGAGAACTTATTGTCTCTGAAACCAACTGTGCAGGGGTGCAGGAGTCTGGTGTACTCTGGGTGCTGCTCACGGAATAAATGACTCCTGGTTCATTCCTTTGTCAATTCAGAGGGACGCCTCCAAGAAGTTTTGACACAGAGTACTCTACGGTATTTCCATACAGACACTGAAAGCCAGGAATGGTATCAATACTACTGTTCTTAGTCCACATCGTCTAATATCCAAGAGGTCCTCACTTCAGACAGCCAGAGCACTGGTCTAGGTGCACTAAGAGGAAGCTCTGCAGAGGAAATCAGCCCAAAAAGAGAGGGGAGGTGAAAGTGGATGAAATACAATTTTTATATTACCAGAATAGAAAAGTAGAAGTATCATAAAAATGTTATTAATCAAAAGGCTCGTTCTCTATTTTACAGCTAGAGTCTAACACTCACTGTGCACACATTTTTTACTGTAAGTATGACACAAACCTAAATCATCATAATGTGAATCAATAACTAATTAGTATTTATAAATGCAGCCACTGGGAGACATATTTCAATTCCATAGCAAGGAAGCTGGAGAATTGATGAACAAGGCCGAAAGCAAAGAAAGCACGTGCTTGGCACACCCCTCATGGCCCTTCTGGAAATATGTAGAGCCACAGGCACAATCAGAGTTGTACCCTCCGAAGGTGTGAGCACACAGACGCCACTACTGCAAGCCACACCAAGAATCGGACCCAGATAAAATAGGAAGCAACAAGTGCTGGGGTTCCCAGCGAGGTCACTGGAGAAACAGGTCCTGTTCTCCAGATTTTTTTCCTTGGATGGCCTAATGGAGATGCACGAGACAAAGGCAAATAGGAGGACAGAGCAGACGCAAGCACGTTAGACAAGAATTGCCGTGTACAGTGTCTTTGGAAAGACACAGGGGTGCAGGAGTCTGGTGTACTTGTAGAAGTTGATTCAGGAAGACCGATGACTTCAAATTTGGCACGCTTTCCTCCCTGCGGATTTGGTGATGTGAAGAAGACCAAAATGGAGAAGTTAAAGTGAGCATGCGCCTCAGCGTGCCATTGGCTCCTGCGGGCGCTGGTGTCCTGACATGCTGCTGTCACACTGCAGCACACTCACACTTTGCTGTGGGTAAGTGTTGACAATCTCTCTTTCCATCTCTGGTGCAGCAGCTTTTTTATTCCCCAAGGGCCACCTGGGAGATGCAATGGCCCTTGAGGCAAGAAGCAGGCATCAAGAGGAAAAAAGAAGAGGACTAAAACACGTACAAAAGGATGGCAAGAGTAAAAGGAATGAAGAAGAAAAAGCAGAGAAGTGGCATGCATGGGGCAGGCACTGTGACACCGTGGGTTAGACCTCTGCTTGGGTCGCCTGCAACCCATATTGGAGGGTCATTTGAAACCCAGCTACAATGCTTCCCACCCAACTTCCTGCCAAATAAAATTCCTTTCTCCAGGGCAGACATTTGGCATAGTGTTTAACATGCCACTTGTGGGGGGCACCGTGGTGCAGTAGGTTAGTCCTCCGCCTGCGGTTCCAGCATCTCATATGGGCGCTGTTTTGAGTCCCTCTGCTCCACTTCCAATCCAGCTCTCTGCTCTGGCCTGGGAAAGCAGTAGAAGACGGCCCAAGTCCTTGGGCCCCTGCACCTGTGTGGGAGACCAGGAAGAAGCTCCTGGCTCCTGGCTTCGGAACAGTGCAGCTCTGGCTGTTATGACCATTTTGGGGGTGAACTAACGGAGGAAAGACCTTTCTCTCTGTCTCTCCCTCTCACTATCTGTAACTCTACTTCTCAAATAAAAAAATTAATAAAATATTAAAAAAAAAAAAAAGATGCCACTTGGGATACCTGCATTCTATTTCAGAGCGCCTAGTAGTTGGGTCCCTCCCAGCCAGCTGGGAGTCCCAGGTTGACTTCTGGGCTCCTGGCTTCAGCCTGGCTCAGCCCCAGTTGCTGCAGGCATTTGGGGGCGGGGAGGAGAACAAGTGAATGGAAAATCTCTCTCTCTCTGTTTTTCAAATAAATAAAAATAAATAACTTTAAAAATATTGATTTTTTTTCATAAGCCAGGTCATAGTAACTGAGATGTACAACACAAAAATCACATTTTGTACCAATATGCTTCAGATTACTGGTTTTAAAATAATACTTTTTTTTTTTTTTTGCCAATGATTGAGCCTTGCCATCATAGCTCCACTGTTTAAAATTTACAATTTCTTCCTTGTAACATTTGCTATTGGGGCCGGTGCTGTGGCGCAGAGGGTTAATGCCCTGGCCTGAAGCGCTGGCATCCCATATGGGCGCCGGTTCTAGTCCTGGCTGCTCCTCTTCCAACCCAGCTCTCTGCTATGGCCTGGGAAAGCAGTGGAAGATGGCTCAAGTCCTTGGGCCCCTGCATCCACATGGGAGACCCAGAGGAAGCTCCTGGCTCCAGATTGGCGCAGCTCCGGCCGTTGCAGCCAATTGGGGAGTGAACCATCAGATGGAAGACCTCTCTCTCTCTCTCTCTCTCTCTCTCTCTCTCTCTCTGCCTTTCCTCTCTCTGTGTAACTCTGACTTTCAAATAAATAAATAAATCTTTAAAAAAAATCTGCTATTTCTTTTCTCCTTCTATTCTAGTATAACCACCAAAAAACATTTATCCACAAATGGCAAGTGCTTAAATTATGGCTTACTGTGCCTTTCCAAGCTGTTTGTAGCCAACCTGGGCTGCACACGTTGTCCACAGAAATCCCTATAAGGATTAAGAGTCAGACATTGCTAATCCTTCACTGTGGCAAGGTGTCAGCTGTTCTCCAGGTCAAACGCTGCTCTGCAGGATGTTCGGAACTTGAACAAAGCAGACAGCAATTTTTCTCATGATCTCAACATAACATAAGCTTTTCTTTTTTGAGTGAAGAGGCCTCTGTTTTCTAGCTGGCTATATGCTTGCATACAAATTCCTTGCAAATTATTTTTCACATTCCAAGTTTCATTAATTTAATTGAATCTGCTCCTAGTTTTTAATTAAATCTGCATTTCTGTCAGTAACCTTTAGAAAAAGATAGAAGCCACATTATCATATTGGAGAGAACGGAATCACACAGCAAGATGGACATAAAAGGAAAAGACAGAGTTGCATGGCCGTTTTTACTATCAATTTATTTTTGTACCAAAAGAATTAATATTCAAACGTGATGCTTTTATTGTACAGTTTAAAATAACTTCCACTAAGTTAAAAATTGGATTTTTTGTGGATCATAACTAATAAACTTTTCTATTAAAAAACCACAAAATTTACAATTTGTAGCACTCATAGAAAAAAACACCTGTTCAATAATTATAAATATTCCTGACAGATTTCAGTAGCCCTTTAGGTACCTCTTTGGCAATGTCAGCTTTCTAAAGTCAATTAGCTTCTAAATTTGAAAGGCACCTGGTGGCCAACATCCTGCTTATTATTCAAGGCATCTATTTTAATTATTTTTATACATGTTTGACAAGTCTGGCAAATCTATTAAGTTAAAGAGAATGAAGAAATATAGTACATTTGGTATTAAGAAACATTTTTTCCCTGTTAGCCACAAGCTTCCCCCAAGGGATTTACAAAGTGCACCAGTTAAATATGTCTGTACATTTAAAACATTAAATATGTCAACAGTGAGACATTTTTAAATATTTTGAATCAAATACTATAGCACAAATATAATTTACAATACTTTGCACAGGAAACATTACATCTGAAATATAACCTTAGATATTATATAAAAATACATATATTTTCTCTCCTCATTAGAAAAAGTATTTGTTTGCAGGTTCCAGCACAATGTAACAATTCAAAAGAACTTAACCCTCTGAATGGTCATTTCATTTGCCATAGATGACACACACTCCGCTTGAGCTGCAAAGTGGCACACAACCACGGGTGAGATGCAGAGGATGAATCCCTCCCACAGCCCACGTGCACTCTTTCACAGGCATCCGTCATTGCTCCAATCTGGTTTAATTCTAGGAATTCATTACAAAATTTTAAAACCATTGTGTAACATATCAGGAGTCCAACACTGCCCACTGGCAGTGAATACTCGTGGGTAAGCTCTCCGCGGGGTCAGGGACATGGGCAGTCTTGTACCATTGTGGGCCACGCCTCTTAGTAGTCTCATACACCTATATACATCTTCCTCGTCTTCTTATTAAAGAGTTCCCAGACATCTAGGAAATACCTGACCCTGTACCGCAAAGTAGGGCTCAATCTATGTCTCGAACTTTAAAAGCCCCAAAGTACGTTGCATCTTGGTCTGGATCCAGAAGGGAAGGGTTGGACACCTCCACACTTATTTCCTCACCCGATCGCAACTTAAAAAATCCCCCAACGTTTATGGAATAAAAATGGAATTCAGAATTCCCTGACCAGTACTTGGTGCTTCCTCCCTTCATGAGGGTGTGAGAGCTTGGGATTTTGACGCTGGTTTTTGTGACGTACACCATCAGCTGAAGATACTCCGTAGCTAGGTCTCCGGAAGTTTCGTGATGGCGAAAGCAAATGTTGGCGTACAGGTAATAAAAGCCATCTTGGTTAACGATCAGTTTTCCATTGCTGAAAGTCATGTTGGAGATCTTGGCCCAGCCTCGGTCATGGTACCAAGAGGACAGGCTCACTTTACGGGAACCTGTGGAGAGGAAAGGTAGGCGATTTAAAATCTACTCTTCGCTGCCTGGGTTCAAGTTCCAGATCTGTTTCTAACTCCAGCTTCCTGCCAATGTGTGCCCTGAGAGGCAGCAGAGGATGGCTCAAGTTCTTGATTCCCCATGTGGGAGACTCAAATTGAGTTCAGGGCTCCTGGGTTTGGGTTAGCCTAGCCCCGGCTGTCGCGCACATTTCGGGAATGAACCAGCAGATGGGAGTGTGCGCGTTCTCTCTCTCCTCTTTCAAATAAAATAAATAAGTAAAAATTTTAAATCCACTCTTTATGAGGACATCCTCATAACTCCATAAAGTTAGAGGCGAAACAAACTAACAGTCATTATTCTAATGGGAGCATAATGTCTTTGAATTTACTTTATAAAAGAAGAGAAATACATTCAGATGCATTTAGTAGTCTGTTAGGCACATTAGACATACAAAGATAAGTACTAATTTTTCCTGCCCTCCAGGAGTAAGTGTGTCATGTGTTCAGATCAGAAGGAAGGCAGGAGTAGTGATAAGCAAGGTGCATGAGATAGTTACAGGAATTCAAAGGAGGGAGTTTTCATCCATGCAGAGGGATCAAGAATTTTTGGGGGCTTCTAGTTATTAAGCCTCCACCTGTGGCACTGGCATCCCATGTGGGCACTGGTTGGAGTCCTGGCTGCTCCAAATCTGATCCAGCTCTCCCTGCTGATAGCCTGGGAAAGCAATGGAAGTTGGCCCAAGAGCTTGGGCCCCTGCACCCACGTGGGAGACAGGGTTGAAGCTTCTGGCTCCTGGTTTTGGACTGGCTCAGTTCCAGCTGTTGTGGCTGTTTGGGGAGTGAACCAGGTGAAAGACCTCTCTCTATCTGTAACTCTGTCTCTCAAATAAATAAATAAATCTTAAAAAAAAAGAAAAGATTTTTAAAAATGTCTTTGTGTAGTTGCTACACAAATGGACAAAGAGGAATAGGATTTAGTCACACCGGCAGCAGCAAAGGGGTCGTCCCAGGTTCAAGGAAATGAATTAGCAAAGCCAACTGAGTCAGGAAAACAAGAAACTAGTATAGAGGAAGAGAATTTGAACATTTCATCTTCTCAGCCTTCTCTCTTATCTCATGGACAGGACGTGTACAAGGAGATGAAAATCTGGGTCACAATAACTTTGGACAAAAGGTCAAACTCCTCAACTCTATTATTACCACGATCTATTTTCCTCACTTCCAATAGTCAAAGTGTCTCCCAGGCTTACGCAAGTAAAAAGCTATTCCCAGAAAAGCTAAAAAAAAAAAAAAATACTTGGTATTGCACTCTCTAAGTTAACAATTCCATGCAATCTATTGTTGTAAAACCTCATTTGATTGACTAGAATTCTCCTTTACCCCCTTCTGATGTTATCTGTATTCATGCTACTATTTCTGGAGCATTGAAAGTTTCTTGGGAAATTTCTAAAAAACAAACAGTGTGAATGTGTACATTTTTGCACCTAAGTAAACATCTTTTAATTCTGTTTTTCATGATTTATTTTCAAAGATTTATTTATTTATTATTTATTTGAAAGGCGGAGTAACAATGAGAGAGGGAGGGGGAGGGAGGAGAAAGAGAGAGAGAGACAGAGAGACAAAGATCTTCCATCTGCTAGGTCATTCCACAAAGGGTCCAGCCAGGGCTGGGTCAGGCTGAAGCCAGGAACAAGGAACTCCATCTTGGTCTCCCACATGGGTGCAAGAGCCCATGTACTTGGGTCATCTTCTGCTGCTTTCCCAGGCACATTAGCAGGAAGCTAGATTGGAAGCAGAGAATCTGAGACTTGAATCAGTGCCCTGATATGGGATTCCAGTAGTGCAGATTATGCCACCACTTGCACCAGTGGCGCCACAGAGAACTCTTTCAAGTCCCCTTGTGTTATAAGTCTTTAGTATATTTTATTGGGCTCTTAAAAACTGATAACACCTCAACTCAGTGAATCAAGCACTTTTATTTATGGGGAAACCAATTACTCAACTGGAAAAAGTATTAACTGATTGGGGGAAGTTGTGACAATGTGGACAGCCCAGAAGTGAACTTTTCCTTCAGAAGACTTGGCAAAGACTCAGGCTGAACAGAGGTTGTCATCTGTTTGGAGAGCTAAGTCTCAGACTGGAGTTGGAATTAGTTGTGCTGTCCCTGAGATGTTGAGGAAGAGAAATTTGTCCTCACAGGGCTTAAACTTAATGTGGATTCCAAGGATCCACAGAGCTGACAACACTCTGGTTGGGGTGGATCCTTAGACGATCCTTATAAAGTAAGACATCCACACTAACTGCCTTCCCAGACTGGCCCAGTTCCAGGAAACCTTGAACATCTCTAGAGAGTTGCAAGCTTTAGAATGTCCTATTATCTCTACAGGACCACCAGAAAGCCGGGGATATAGTCTGGAGGACTCAAACAAAACCAGGCTGTTCCAAGAGTCAACCACGTGATGGGGCAAGCGGATGACAAAAGTCATAGTGACCAATGCTCAGCCAGGCAAACCATCACAAGACAAGAATTGAATGTTCCAATTCCCACATCCAAGGACAGGATTTTTTCCTGACCTCCACAACAGAGCCATTCCAGGGGGATCACCACAAAAACGTCTTTCATTTTCTTTGGAGGTCTTATGTTAGGGCACCGTAGATTAAAGCATTCCAAATATAAACACCACCCTATAGTCCCAAGTGAGTCAACACGAGACGACAAGACTACTCAACACACCCTTGTGAACACAGGCTGGTGAAAAGCCACCTAATCCATCGACAAAGCTAACAAAATTCAAGATGTTTCCCACCTCCTGTATCGCACACTTCCCTCTTTTTTTTACCCTACTCCTTGTATGCAATCCTTTATTCAATCAATTATTGAGAGAGAGAACAGAGAGAAGCAGAATGACTAGGATGAAATTGACTCTCCCAGTGGGATGGGTCAGGTCATGGTAGAGTAAAATTTGGCTGGAGAGGCAAGGAAGGAATGTTAAATACAGAGGACAGAAGATGGGAATCTTGACTGAATACCATTGAGATCATTACACAAGTCAAGTCGAAGAAGGGTTCTTATTTCCCAGTAAATACCTCTCCATACTTATCAATTTATTTGCCCATACGTTCATTGACTCATTCTGTTGGCCAGTTATGCAATATCAGGTGGTACTTTCGGTAGGCATTCACTCTGCCCATAACTCAGAATTTTATCAAGTGGTGTACATTCACAGCTTCTTACCACAGTAGCAGAGAAAAAGGAAATTGGCATATAAAATACAACAGGCTCGTTTCTCCATGTTGCCTGGCATAGGGCTGACATCCAGACAAGCAATCGTCCAGTGAAACCGACAGAAATGTGTGGCATCAGGAGAGTTCAGGGACAGAGGACAGGTTGCATTTGGGTCAAATTTGCACAGGCTGAGCAAAGGGAGAGGAATGAGGGCCAGAGAAATGGTTTTGGGACAGAAGGGCCTGTGCAAGGCACACACAGACAGGAAGGAAAGCCAAACTGTGTGACTAATGAACTCATGCATAGACAATAGTGGGATAAAAGATGAGAAAAATGTACTGCAAGCAGGTTGGAGGGCCTCACAGGGCAGCCTGAGTTTCCAATGCTAATGAGGCAGGCTCATGACCTCTGAGTCTAGCCTCTGCAGGCCCACGCAGGAGTCCTGTCTGTTAGATGCTGGAAAGAGGCTCCTGCAGATATTTAGCCTGAGCATCCCTGTAAAGGAAGCCGCCCACGCTGACCCCACAAAATACCTCTCCATGCATCTTATCCAAGAAGATTTGAAAACACACAAGACAACAGCCCTGGAAGGTAGAGTCTGGTTTCTGTCGTTTAAGTAAGCCTAAGAACCACAAAATGAACATGGCCGACTTCCTCTATGGTAGCCAGCACTGGCCCACACAGCAAGCTTAACAGACTTAAGAGGTGGTTGGCCAAGCCAGAGCAACAGACTCCATTTTCTTAAACAGTAGCACTTGTTTCACTCCGTCATAAACTCAGTAACTGTCAGATAATAACTAGGAGTTCTGCCTTGTTTTGTTGACAATGATTTGATGCTAGGTGCCTGCAGAGAGCTTTATAGCTAAAACAGGCTTGCTGTTGCCAAACAGACTTTGGCACACAGTCTAATGCAATATTTATCACATGCCATTTACAGTGAGCTGAAAAGATAAATGTAGGACGCATTCATCACATACAACACAGCTGAAGCACCAGTATTAATTTGATTGCCTTAGCTCACATGCAAAAATGGCTTTCCACTCACTCTCTGGGTAAACGTTTAGCTCAATAGACTGGACACTGGGTTGTATTTTACAAATGCGGAAATCCAGAGCTCAGGGCCCGCAGCTACATTAATGCACCAGCCATTGCATCCTGTAGTCCCCTATGAATCCTTCACTTTGGGTTAGGGAAGGATCCAAAAAAGATAACCAAGCTCATTTTAATAACGTTCTCATTTGATTGAAAAGTAGTGCGGCTCTACCACAAGGCACACACAGACACAAAAAGAGAGAAGATTTGTTTACAACACAAGTCTCTGGGACAGTGTAGGTAATTTGGAAAATTCTCCCAAAGCCAAAGAGTCATTTTCTTACTTTCTTTGTCTTCAGTCAGGAAAAAATCTGTCTCTGGCCCAGGCGATGACGATAGCATCAACATCATTTAATAAAACTCAACCCCAGGAAAAGCACGCTTTAAATCCTCGTTAGAACAAAGCGGAATGTGTAGTTGTTTAATTCAATTCAGTTAACTCTAACAAGTCACACCAGGTGCTTGCCATAGGCCACCTTCCACCCAAAAGGTTAGCACTTTCCTCAGCTAAACCTCCACACTAGCCCGTGAGGCAGACACCTTCTCCATCCTCATTGTAGATGCAGTGACGCCGAGGCTCAGGAGTTTCCAAAGATTCATACAAGGTCATAGAGCCACTAAACAGTACAGTGAGGAGCAAATCCAGGCATTAGATTTTACAGCCCCGTTATTAGATAATACCTTAGTCTACTTCTTCCAGGAAAAGGACAACAGAAATACCTTTCGGTTTTTTCGTCTGACAAAGCCACCTAACCACAAGAACCTGCTGGCCTGCTTGTCTGAGAACACAGAGCGTAGAAAGAATGGACCTGGGAGTCATGCAGAGTGGAACCCAACTCCTAATCATGCAACCATATGACCTTGACCAAACAACACAGTGTATGAACCTGCTTCCCTGTCTGTACAACCTGAATGATATTCAATGAGAACGTTATTAAAATGAGCTTGGTTATCTTTTTTGGATCCTTCCCTAACCCAAAGTGAAGGATTCATAGGGGACTACAGGATGCAATGGCTGGTGCATTAATGTAGCTGCGGGCCCTGAGCTCTGGATTTCCGCATTTGTAAAATACAACCCAGTGTCCAGTCTATTGAGCTAAACGTTTACCCAGAGAACAATGACAAGTCCCTGGAGAAGAAGGAGGAAGTTGCATTTTCTGCAGAGTTACTGACTTTTGAAGATCACCTTGCCAAGCCCTCGCTGGAACTTTGTGCATTCATCCTCCTGAGAGGTCGGCAGTGTGGGTGCAGCAGCTTTGGCCTGAGTTAAGTATGGATGAGCCTAACAAGGGACTGTCCTTCTCAGTAAGCAGCCCTTGATTATAAATACCCACTCCGATGACCTGAAATGAATGCAGAGCTGAAGTCCATTCTGTTTCCAGGATGCGGATTCTCAACTGAAGACTTAACCATCTATCTTTCAGTTTGGAAGTCAGGGCTCTCAAAAGTGTAGTGACAGGATGATAATAGGTTGGAGTATTTAACAGACAGACAAATGACTCTTGAAATATGTTTCAGGCTGGATGCAGATGGAACTTACCTGATGGGATGTTGGTGGCATTAATAGTGAGATGTGCAAAAGGCTGAGTTTCAGGCTTGCCTTTCTTTGCCAGATCGAACCATGAACCTTCCATGACAGCTGGAGATGAGAAACCACATTAGCCCAAAGAGCAGCGACCCTGAGAGATTTCAAATACCCACACAAATTCACGCTTACCTTTCTCGGCTCTCAGGTGTTGTGATCCAACAATGTGTTGTAGTTCCTAAAATCAAAAGGAAAAAGAATCTTATTTATTCACTCATTCTTTCTGAAAATCAGTAAGAATTCTGGGCTGTTAGATATGTAATAAGTTAACTCTCACGTCCTTCAAAAGATGTGAGAAGTACATAGGCAGTTCTATTACTGGTTGTTCTAGGAGATATCAAGGGCTGTTCACCCCAAAGAATCGGATGTTTATGTGCTTAGAAAACAGTTCATACACTGTCAGACCAAATACTTTGGAGAATAAGAGAAAATAAAAAAATGTAAATTACAAAACATAGAATAATGGAACACAATTAAAAATGTGTCGCAGGTACACAAATGGAGATGAAATTAGCTAGGAAAATACCAATTACACGGAATATATGATGCCCCTAAATCTTTACGGAGACTCTTTTTATGTCTGTTTCACTGGTGGATTCCTGTTACAGCACTGAGGCTCAGCACCCAGGGAAGAGAAGGATGCCTCATTGCCAGCGGCTAATTTTTTTATTTTAAAATCACAGTGTATTTAAAGTACTATATGGAAGTCTCAGAGCTTTTAGAGTGCCAATAATTAACCTAATATATTGCTGCAAATAAAGGCTTAGAAGCAAAAGCCAGAAAAAGAACAAACATAAAGAGCACAGGTAATTGCATAGCTCAATTTGAGCCCTGGGAATGAAAGACCCAATAGGTATCCACGTGCCCACTTGAACCCAGACATTAGCTAACAGTGAATGTCACTTCTTGGGACACAGTAAGGTGGAGTGAATGAAAGCTCATGTTTCACCTTGGTTCAAAACCTGCATAAATGGAGGATATTAATAGCACCTCTATCACAGGGTGCTTACAAAGCATAAATGAAATAATGGATGTCGACACGTAGCTGAGTACCTGAAAAATTCAGATATGTAGATACTAGAAACACTCTGGAGACGCGCTAATTTCTCTGCTATTAGGATAACCATTCAGGCTTACCATTCCTCCCATGATGCTTAATAGACAGGCCATACAGCTTAAGTTCTTTTGAGTGTGTGGATAGGAGGGTTTTGAAATAGAGGTCAGATAGGTAGGAAGGTAGGCAGGTAGATGGAGGGAGGGAGGGAGGGAGGGACAGTGGGAGGAAGCGAGGGAGAGATAGAAAGATTAGATTAGATTGGATTAGATACAGGCAATAACAAAACTTGAACTGTCATCCCCTGGAAGGGCTCTGGACATAAGATAACATTTATTCTTCTCTCTGTCTTTAGACCTCCCAAGAGAGATGAGACTCTATGGTATCTTTAATCAGCCTTGGAAAAGACAGCACAGCTGTCTTCCGTTACACGCCCTGAAGTCCTAAAGCCCCACTGTGGCTGACTTTCAGGAAGAGCCCCCAGCCCCAAAATTTCTGAAGCCGAAGATCTGGGTGGAGACCTGTGGGTCTGCATTTCTACCGGGTGAGCAGGTGCTCCTAGCCTGGCGCCTCTTCTGAGACTAACAATCCCTTCCAAAAGATTCAAAGACAGTCCAATCCAGGGCTCTCCTAGAAGTCTGAGATCCAGGTCAGAGAAACAGCAGACCCAAGACAAGGAAAATTTGTTCTCTCTCTCCTGGGAAAGAACATTTCTTGGCTGTTTCATTGTTAGCTTCTAGGTCAGAGCTGCTACAGACCCACTGTGTTACAAGATAATTCAATAAAGAGAACTCTCAAAGCACTTTCAACATCTACTTTAAAAATCAAGGCTTCATGACCCAGCATGAATGACAGAGAGACCCATTCATATTGCAGCTCTCCTGTAATGTCTGCTGTCTGTCCCACAATCACAAGGCATCTTCCATCTCTGAAACTCTGCCGGAAAGCTGTCATGTAAAACAGGGAGCCCGGGGTGTGTTCGCAATCTCAGGTTTCAATGTGTTCCTGACATCTGGTCTCCGTCCCAACTTTCTGAACTCACACCATTGTTATTTCTATCCAACCATAAGCACACAACTACAGTTTGAGGGTGTCTTTGGGCTTAGGGACCGTAAGTAAACTTCTGAGGGGAGGATATGATGTATCTTAGTAGGGAAGCTGACTAACCTGAAGGGAAATTTTGGGGTTGCACTGACCCCAAATTCAGTCAGTCTAACTCAATTAGTCTGATAGTGACTTGGTATATTTTTTAAATGCCCCTAGGTGATTCTAACATATAGCAGGTGCTAGGAAACAATATGAATCATTGAGGGTTCTCATGATTCATTGTTTGGTGACACCTCTATTTAGCAAGGATTTATTACACTCTCACACTTCATATGTACAGTTGATCCTTGGTATGCACAGGGGGATTGATTTTAGGTTATCTCTTTCCTCACCTGACCCCACAGATGCCAAGACCTGTGGATGCTTTAAAGTTCCTTACATAAAAATAGTGAAAAATTTGAGTACAACCTAAGCACATTCACCTGCACACTTTATAGTATCCAATGCAATGTAAATGCTGTGTAAATAATTATTATCTTGTTTAGGGAACACTCACAAGAAAAAGATCTCTACAAGTTCAGCACAGAGGCATTGCTTTAAATGAATGTTTTTGATCCACCACTGGTTGAATCCAAGGGCATGGAGGGCCAGTTGTATGAAGCGTTTGTTGAAAATTAAATAGCCTCATACAGTCAAAGTCAACCAAGTATTTTTCTGGTATTGTCACATTTGAGTCTTATTACAGTCGAAGGTTGGATAACTATTGCTCACTCCATTTTTTTCCAACTGACAGGCGGAAGTAGAGACTAAGGACTCACTCTACAAAGCCAGGACTTGAACCTCAACTGGCCAGAGAGATCTGTACACTCCCTTTTACAAGGTCTCCCATCACAGATGCTCCTGGGAGCCTGGAGGAAAAAATGCATGGCCTCGGCCGGCGCCGCGGCTCACTAGGCTAATCCTCTACCTGTGGCGCCGGCACACCGGGTTCTAGTCCCGGTCGGGGCACCGGATTCTGTCCCAGTTGCCTCTCTTCCATGGCAGCTCTCTGCTATGGCCCAGGAAGGCAGTGGAGGATGGCCCAGGTCCTTGGGCCCTGTACCCCATGGGAGACCAGGAGAAGCACCTGGCTCCTGCCATCGGATCAGCGTGGTGCGCCACCCGCAGCACACCGGCTGTGGTGGCCACTGGAGGGTGAACCAACAGCAAAGGAAGACCTTTCTCTCTGTCTCTCTCTCACTGTCCACTCTGCCTGTCAAAAAAAAAAAAAAAAAAATGCATGGCCTCTCCATTAACCCCTAGAGCCTGGCTGGGGGGAGACTCTGAAAAGGAGGCACACCTTGAGTGGGAGGGCACGTGGGGGATCTGATAAAAAAGCCTACACACAGGAAACGAGAGCTCAGAATTCCTGGGACCCTCTCGGGGGGTGGGGAAGACTTGGGTCTGACTCCTCCTAACCCAGGCCTGCATATCCCCTGGCTGCTTCATGTCACCAGCCACAACTCTTCCAAGTCACTCCACAGAGCAGAGGCCCCGTGCTCTGCCCTTCTCTCCTCCAAGATCACACTCAGCCCTGGGCATCCCGAGTAGGGCATCCTGATGGCCTCTAATCCTTTTCATTTTCAGGATTCTAAGAAGGCCCTCTGAAGCAGTGCCCAACCTTCACCCCGACCAACAATTCCATTTATTTTCTAAGCTTCACATCTATATTGATTTTCTTTCACTGGAGTCCTCTACATCTGTCAGATTAATTAGAGCAATTTACAATGTAGAGTCCACCCCCTCCCCAAGTCTTATCATTCAGTCATTGCTTTTGGTTTCTTTGAATTCAGAAAGTTCTGACAATCTAATTTTGGGGAAACACTACAAAGAGTGTTCCATTTCCTTTCTTCTAAACGAATTACTCAGATGAAAGGGATGTTTTAAAGAGTTCTGTGCGCGTGTTTTTATCTTATTTTAAGTTAGCTATAATTAATAAAAAAAACCAGTTAGCTAATTTTTTGGCTAGACAGACAATGCACTCATATGTTCCCTACACTCTCAGAATACCTACAGATTTTCACGGGTAGTTTTGACACAGCTCCCAGCCAGCAGCTTAGAGCAGAAGCCTGAACCAATTTCCTGGCTGAGAAAGCTGGGGACTGCCACAGAATGATCCTGGAGAGAACCCCACGTCTCGCTCGCTGCCCAGGAAAATCAGAGTTCCTCCTTCCCGGAATACAGCATGTGTCTCATCTGTTACATGCAGAGGGCAAACGAATTATCTCCTGGTTCCAGAAACTGCCTATGCAAATTAGAATTACCTCCAAAAAGTTACTGAGACAATTCACATGAATGAATGTATTTATTTATGGTCGCACTGTCGCAAGCAGGCTTTTCGGCAAATACATACGTTTTTAGATACGCATAATTTGGGCCTACTTCATGACAGCTTCATCTGTTCCTTCAAAGAGGACAAAAAGGGGAAGCTGAACTGCAGCAGCCTACCCAAGAAATCCTGCCAATTCAAGGGTAAAAGAAACCCTCTGACATACTGCCCCCTAGTGGACACTGTCTGGAATTGAAGTGCCTGGGACATCATCTCAGCCAGCTTTCCAGATTGAAATTCTGTCTAAAAATAGATTAAGTTTTTGCAACATTTAAAAACTCTTATCATTGCGGCATTTGCTATTTAAACTGCATTAGCTTCTAATCTTTGCTGTCAGAGTTCATTTGTACATAGAGGAAAACAATAGCGCTTTTTTTTTATCTCAATTTTTATTTCACTCTCAGAAAAGTGATGGGATTTCACAATTCCTCCTCCAGGAAGCTAAACATACAAAAGAATGAAGTGCTTGTGTCACTGTGGTCTCCAGGACTGCCTCTCTTCAACTCTGCCTGAACTCAACATCCAAGAATCACAGTTCCCAGGAGTGTGCAGGGGAAACCTTGTGTCCAGCCTGCTGGGACCCAGCTGAAGATGTTTTGGGATCTTTTGCCAAACATAAGGAGGGTGAGATCCCAGAGTTGGCTTGATCTTGATAAATCATGGCTCCCCAGGGGAGACTGTACTGTTTAAGAATAAGTACAAACACTTC